TAAAGCTCCAGTGATTCTAATATGCAGCCAGGATTGACAACACAGCTATGCTGGCACCCTTGGAAACTGTAAGGGACTTCATATTAAAACCCCTAGTTGGGGTCAGTATTTGCCAACGCTGGAGATATAAGAAGAAAAAAAAAAAGATTCTCAAGAGATTGTGATTTGTAATCAGTGGGGTCCGGAAGTGTTAGCAAGATCCCCTGGTTTAGAAATCAGAACCGGCAGCCCCTGCTGGTGAGGTAACCCAGAGAGCCTCAGAGATTCTGTGCCCTCTCCTCTCCCCTCCCCACCCCCTGTACAGCCGAAGCAATTGAGAACATTTGGCCCGGAAATATCCAGAACCAATTTCCGCAGCTCTTCCTTCCCCTCTGCTTCGGGGACATTGCTTCAAAGAACAAGCTCTGAAAGACAGCTCCAGACACCCTCACCGAGAGCCATTTCCAACTGTGTCACTGCAGAGCCCGGGGGGCTGTGGCCCAGCTGGGCCTGCTCCGATTTCCTGCTCCGTCCATTAATCCTGGGACACTCTCATTAAGATGAGATCTGCATACATTTGCATATTAAACTCCTAGAGCTCCCTCCCTTCCCTCCACCCCTGTGGCAGGTTAGCAGAAAATAAAACTAATGTATTCACAAAGTCTGCTGGGACTTGTTAGGATCTGAATGTCATGCAGTGCTGGGACTTTGATACACCGGAAGCCAGGGGTGCTGGGGTGAAGGGGAGTGGCGCTGTTCCTGCGAAGGAAGCCAGTAGCTCCGGCCCCGCTCCTGCTGAGGGATGTGGGATTTCTCCAGTGGAAAAATTCCCAGGGCACCAGTAGAAGGGGTGCGGGGGCCTGCCTTTTTAAGGCATAGGTGAGATTCCTGCCAGGGCCTGGCTTGGAGACCGCCCAAAGGCTCCACTGCTCCAGCCAAAGGCTCCAGGAAGAAGCCAGCTGGTAACAGCTGGTACAGTAGAAGGGCTGGGCCCTGGATACCGCCAGCTGACTTGGATTTGAACAGTGTGACCTTGGGTTCAATAAGGACTCCCTGAACCTCAGTTTCTTCTTTATATATAAAGGGGGTGATAAGCTTTTTACGTGACGAGGGGAGCCGAGGGTTTATTTGGAGGTGGGCGCTCCTGTAATCTACACCTTCTGGACAAATTGGCTCTAAACCATGGCTCACACCTATGGTCCCAGCTACTTGGCAGCCTGAGGCAGGAAGATCATTTGAACCCAGGAGTTTGAGCCCAGTCACCAACCAACCTCCCACCCCACTACCCAAAACACCAGAAAAATGTAATGGCTCTAAAACAACCCTTTGTTCTACCTGTATCTCGGTGTTCTGTGGGTCGGGAATTTGCATAGAATAGGGGAGGCCTGTGCTTCCTCCTTCAGGATGCTAGGTAATCAGCTGGTGGCTGAGGGTAGACTGGAAGGTCCAACACAGTTTCCTTGGGGTGTGAATCATGTTTGGTTTTGTTTTCTATATTTTAGAATGCTTTGACATCCTGGGCCCTTGCAGACCCAGAAAGGGACTGTCTCTCCCAGGGTTACCTAGTTAGCTCCTATGAAGAAAAACAACTTGCCTCTAAGCACCCCTTTGATCTGCAAGCCCCCAGCTCAGTGAATGTCCACATCATTGCACAAGGCCTTTGCCTTTTATCCAGAATATCAGCCCCCATCCTGAATCATCCAGGCCCAGGTACTGGAAACCAAGACCACTCGTATGAACCAGAGCCCAACAAAATTATTCAGACTAGCCAATCCTAAACCTGCTCCAATTCTCTGCCTGCCCTATCTGTTCCCTCCCACCAAAACCACACCAAAGGCTCTGGCCTCTACTCTTCTTACCCTCCGTCTGCCTCCTGACTGACAGTGGTGCTTCCCCATGTGGCAGGATGTGGCCTGCTGTGCCCCTCCCCCATTTTGGGAACTGAGTAACAACCCTCCTGGATGCAAGCTCTACCACTGAGCCCAGCTACATCCTGGCCACCCGAGCTCTCTTTTCAGTGGCAATTGTCTCTTGGACTCTTGGCCTCACCAAACCTGAATAAACCCAAAATCCTAGGTATGGTTTAAACACTGGGGCTTGGTAGGGCCAGCTGGAGGACTGGGCTTCCCGGGCCTCCTCCTCCTCCTCCCCGTGCTCTCAGCCCTCTGCATGTGGTGTCTCCCATCAGCCTTCTCAGAGCAGCTCAGGGCTCTCAGTCCAAGGAAGAAGCTGCTAGTTCTCTTCAAGTCCAGGCCTGGAGCAGGCAGTGTTGCTTCCACTGAATTCTATTGGCCAAAGCAGTCACAGGTAACAGGGGAAGCGGAGCACGGAAAGAGCATCTCAGAGCCTGCAGCCATCTTTCATCTCCCGAGAAGGTGTGGGACTGCATAACCTTTGTTGCTTTTTCCCAGCCTCATTGTGATTAAAATGTAAGTTAATGGATGGAGATGCTTGTTAGTCTAGGGACTCTAGATAGGGATCTGTAACAGACCTAGAGTCCCAGAGCAAACTACTCAACTCTTTGTTTACCCGGAACTGATATTCCAGGCACCACAATTGTTAGAACAAGCTGCAGATGTCTGCTAACCATCAATATGTGACAGTCGACCACTAACCTTTGTCCCCTTTTCTTTGCAATGTTAACTTCCCCCTCAACCCCCTATAAAAACAGCCTCGGATTCTGAGCCAGTTGCCTCTCTAAGCTATTTTGCTTCCGGAGTGCCGTCTGGCCAGACTAATAAAGGTCTGTTTCCCAACTTGGCCGGTGTGTTCCTTCCCGGGTGGTCTTCGCTGTAGTCAGCTCCTTGGAGCGTTTGGTAAGGCTCTTGGTCTTACATTCTGAAGGCACCGCTGGGATTCCTGGGTGTGCTTCACTAGTCAGCTCCTTGGAGCGTTTGGTAAGGCTCTTGGTCTTACATTCTGAAGGCACCGCTGGGATTCCTGGGTGTGCTTCACTATAGTCAGCTCCTCGGAGCGTTTGGTAAGGTCCTCGGTCTTACAGGAGGAAGAGCGGTTTGTTTTTAAAGTAGACAGCAACAACCAAAGCAGAGGGTGGCTGTGGGGGTGTGGGAAGGATTTATCGAGGCATTGCTAGTGTCAGTTCCTTCACTTAGGAGTTATTTGGGTCTAAACTTTGTGGGTGACCATCTCACAAAAAAGACATGGAACCAAGGAGGGGTTAAGGAGGGGACAGTTGGAGCTGAGTCCCAAGGAAGAGGGAGGTTATTCTATTTAGGGAAAAAACCAATTTGAATTTGAAAGACAGCACAAATCAGCTTTATGTGTTCTCAAATGCTTCCCAGCTCACACCCAAGCTCTCAGGATTTTCCCTCTCAGCATGCTGCCGACTCACCTGTCTCACAGGACTTCAGTGGGAGCCAGCACTCTGCATGGCTCAGCTCGTACCTTTCACTGCACATTTAACCCCATGTGCCAGGGTGTGGCTGTCACTTTGCCTGAGTACCCCTCTCCCTCCAGCAATCCTAGGAGCTGACAAGTTGAAGTGGAGTTGTATGTACCTTCCAGACAGGTGCACTTGACCTTGGGTTTTGAGTTGCTACAGATGAGACGGGTGCTCTCCCTACCATGCCATCACTTTCTGGCTCAGTGCACCCAGACCATGGGCAGGTCTCCTCTTATAGGGGAATCAACGTCCCATAGAGTCTGCGAAAGGGCCTTCTCTTTCAGGGTAGAGAAAGGAGAATGGGAGAGAGTGATTTGGAGATTCTGGGACAAACTTAAGAACTGTGCCAGGTGTGATGGTGCATACCTGTAATCCCAGCACTCTGGAGGCTGAGGCAGGAGGATTGTTGCAAATTTGAAGTCAGTTTGGACTACACAGTAAGACCCTGTCTCAAACTACCCTGCCTTCCCCAATTTAAGAACTGCTCATATTTTGCTAGGCTTAGGACAACAAGCAGTGCAAATCCTACATTTGGGCTCTAGGTATAGTCCAAAAGGGAGAGTGAAGGACAGATGGGCAGAACAGCAAACTCCTTGGAGAGAGTTTGAAAGCATGTTAGAAACGTGGCTGCTGAATTGCTCTGGTGGAAATGCCCGGTCTGGTACCATCTTTTGGAGCCACAGGTGCAGGAGGAAACCTCTGTTTTTCTCTGGTGGAAGCACAACGTTCTGGGTGTCACCATTCTGTTATGTGTCACCAGGGAGCACTGCCTGGAGGTTCTGGAGGTTGCAAGGACTGGAGAGCTGAGGCAGTGGCTTTCAGACCTGGAAGGAACCTTGGAGCCCACTTAGCTCAATCTATCTCTTAACAAGTGAGGGGATAGCGAAGCTGGGTCCATCACACAACACTGGTTGCTATGTTTCTTCGAACTCAGGTTCACCATATCACATGGTTCCTCATGTACCCCACCACCCCTTGATACTTTAGCCAAACTGTAGGGACAGTGCCTCCGCCAACCTCCAAATACCCTCACTTTGTGTCTCAGGTTTCCTTTGATCAGAAAGAAACTGACTCTAGAAGGAACAAAACAGGTCTGCTGCTAGTGGGATCTGAAAGCCAGTGGATATGAAAAATGAAAAGGGCTCAGAGGATCCTAAAATAAAGCAGACTGGGGGCCAGGGATTTAGCTCAGTGGTTCCACTGCCTGCCTCACAAGTGCAAGGTCCCGAGTTGGATCCCTGGTACAAAAAAAAAAAAAAAACCTAGCTAAAATAAAGCAGACAGGAGCCTTTGGGGGTCTTTATTGCAAACCATTAAAGTGATATTTTATGAGTGTTTAAGACAGAGGGCAGAGAGGCCGTGAGCCACACCATGGATTTAGAGGCCCGTGCTGGAGAGGAGATGGCGCTTGCAGGGAAAAGGAGCTCCATCATTGCTGCTCCTTAAGCATGGACTCTTAGCCCCGAGGAAAGAAGGGAGCAGAAAGGGCCATGGAGCAACTGCTATAAATTCAGAATCTGCTCCCACTGAGCACATTGCCTTCCTGTAGCGGGCCTTGGCTCGGATTCACTGCGTCTGACAGAACCTTCCTCTGGCCCAGGCTTCCTGCCAGCTCAGGGTGCCCAAGTCATTGTCATTATCATCCATCACAGACTTCCTTTTGCCTGCCAGACTTTTCCCAACTTGCAGCTTAAAAACACCAGCAGGAGGAAGAGCAAGGAAGTTCTTGTTAAGGTAAATCCATGGCAAAAGTGGCTTGAGGACTGGCTGTTTCCCAGGGCTGGCAGGTGTGTGGAGGGCTCCTTAGATTCTTTGTCCACAGGCTTCCCGCATGGGGAGGGCTGATGCAGGAGCCACAGTCTGGGCTTTGAAAATGAGTCTGGGCTTCTAAGAACCAGTGGGCATGGTCACTGGGAAGTCAGAGCCTAGCGGAACATGAGGACAGGGGAAGCCGTGGAAGGCTGCTCGCAAGAGAAGGGAGCACTGCTGTTGGAAGCAGCAGCACGAAGAGCTGAGGCTCTGCTCTAGGGGCTCCAGTGTGCCTGGGGTGCAGGAGTTGACCCCTCTGTAGTCTGGGTTTCTATTTGGGCAAAGCAAAGTCCCAGGCAGTTTCCTGTGCACATTTCCACATGGCCTGCATGAGGCGGGTGAAACCCATGTCTTTGGGCTTCTCCAGGCCTCTCATCAGCCGCTGCTTCATAATAGAGACGAATTCCTTATTGCTCAGTTCCCCATTGCCTACAGGAAGAGACAAGCACAACAGTGTAAGTGGAAGCTTTCAAGCATAGCTAGCAAGAAAATGCCACCATCGACATCGACACCGCGTAGCCCAGCACACTCTCAGAGCCAAACTCGGCTCTCTAGGCTCAGGATAAATGAGTCTGCTTGATGTCTCCACCCGCAGCTCAGTGACAGTTCATTGTGGTGTGACAAAAGCTGAATGAGAGTTTCATGTATGCCAGGGCCTGTGCCAGGTTTTGAGAATACAGAAGTAAAGAAGCTTCGTATTTTGTCCCTTGAAATACTCCTGGGGTGTGGGAGAGATGAATTATGTCCACAGTGGAGTAAAGGGCTAGAAGGGGGCTAGCAGAGGATGCTGTGGAGCACAGGGCAAACAGTGCGGCTGCTCAGGACTACAAGTAACAAGGTCCTGCTGGACACAGAGGTGAGGATGCAAGTGAACTCAAGGTCCCCAGTCTGGGTCCCTGGCTGTGCCTCTGTGTATGCCACGTTCCCACCTGGAGCACTTCTTCCATCTCACTCCTCTCTACTTGGCCAATTCCTGCCCACTCTTTGCAATTCAGCTCTGGAGACACTTCCGGTAAACCTCCGTTGACCCGTGCTTGCACTGCCCCGCCTGGGTTACATCTTCCTCTATCTCGACTCTCAGTATCTGGCAGAGGGTTTAGCATCTGCTATATTCTACAGAGACATATCAGTACTATGTACTTTCTGGAGACATTACTAAGGAGAAAGTTGGGTGTAATATTTTTGTTTCCATTTTTTTCTAAGAAAATTTACATTTATTTGGGGCCACTTAGGATTGCAATTGGTGAAAATACACATGAAGCAATCTTGAAAATGTGCTCCCTGTTTAAGATCCTTTCGGTCATAGATTAATTTAGGCCTATAGGCAAACTGGAATTACAAGAAGAGTAGAGTGCTTGCCTAGCATGCACAAGGGCTTCGGTTCAATCCCCAGCACCCCAAAACACAACAAAATAAACAAAAAGCCCCACATATAAGAAATGGAAAATGCAAACCAGGACCTGGGGTTGTATTTCTCAGTCTCAGGAGCTACTGAGCAGCATGGGCCTCGCATACTGATGCTGGTCACAAAAGCTAAAAGGGCAGCGAGGCTCAGGACTCCCTCTCGACTCTGGAGGACCCACTCACCGTCACAGTCAAAGAGTGCAAACACCACATCACACACGTGGTCTGACAGCTCCACTTTGGCCACGGTCCTGGCCACCTGCTGCATGGTCACTGGAATATGAGAAATACTCAGTTAGCTGTGCAGAGGGCCTTCCATCAGGATTTTCTGAATGTGGGCACAAACCACTCAGCCAGAAGTTTCCAACTGTGTTTAAGTCATGTTAAGGAAAACAAGAATTTGGTTTTTTATTCACAACCCCCTTTTCCTTTTCACCTCAGGTTCCATTCTTTTCTATTGCCTAGGAGGCTCATGCAGTTGATTAAGAATGCTTGGTAGTGGGGCCGGGGATTTAGCTCAGTTGTCCCGGTGTCTGCCTCACAAGCACAAGGTTCTGAGTTCGATCCCTGATTACCGACCCCCCCCCCAAAGAATGTTTGGTAGTAAATTAATAGAAACAGAAAGTAGAGGGCCAGGATTTAGCTCAGTGGTGCTGCCGTCTGCCGCACAAGGTCCCGAGTTTGATCCCTGGTACCAAAAAAAAAAAAAAAAAAAAAAAAAAAAAGAAACAGAAAGTAGAGGAGGAGCTCAAGGGTTTGGGGAACTAGTGCTTAATAGGGACAGATTTTCTGTTTGGGCTAACAAAAATGTTTTGGAAATGTTCTACAACATTGTGAATGTGATTAATGCCATTGACTTGTACATTAAAAAAATACAGATATACCTAAGAATCAATCTAATGAAGAAAGTAAAAGACCTCTACATTGAAAACTAAAGTACTCTGAAAAAGGAGATCGAAGAGGATATCAGAAAATGGAAAGGTATCCCTTGTTCTTGGGTAGGAAGAACCAATATAGAGAAAATGGCCATACATCCAAAATTGTTATACAGATTTAATGCAACCCCCATCAAAATTCCAATAGCATATCTCACAGAATTAGAAAAAACAATCCTAAAATTCATTTGGAACCAGAAGAGACCTAGAATAGCAAAAGCAATTTTGGGCAACAAAGGCAAGGCAGGGAGCATCACAATCCCTGACTTGAAATTATACTACAAAGCTACTGTGATAAAAACAGCATGTCACTGACCAAAAAACAAACCTGAGGATCAATGGAACAAATTAGAAGACGCAGAAACAACTCCAGACATACTCAGCCACCTTATCTTTGACAAAGGAGTCAAACACCTTCACTGGAAGAAAGACAGCCTCTTTAATAAATGGTGCTGGAAAAACTGGGTTTCCACTTGTCAAAGCTTAAAACTAGACCCATATCTTTCATCCAGCACTAAACTAAAATTAAAATGGATCAAATATCTAAATATTAAAACAGGAACACTAACTCTGCTGGAAGACAGAATAAGTAGAACTCTCAAAGACATTGATGTAGGCAGACTTTATGAACAAAAACCCCGATTGCACAGGAAATATCACAAAGAATCAACAACTGGGATCTCATTAAAAGACGTCTGCACAGCAAAGGAAACCACCAATAGAGTGAAGAGACAACCCACAGTGTGGAAAAAAATTTTTGCCAGCTGTTCTTCAAAGGAGTACTATCTGGAATATATAAAGAATTTAAAAAAAATCAGACCCTCCCCCAAACTCAAAGACCCAATCCAAACATGGGCATCTGAAGTGAACAGACACTTCTCAGATGAAGAAGTAGAAATGGCAAATAAATATATGAAAAAATGTTCAACATCACTAGTCATTTGAGAGATGCAAATTAAAACAATGCTGAGATTCCATCTCATTCCAGAAAGAATGGCTGTAATCAAGAAATCAACTAATAACAAATGCTGGTGGGGCCGTGGGGAAAAAGGAACCCTTCTCCAATGTTGGTGGGAGTGTAGGCTGGTGCAACCACTGTGCAAATCAGTGTGGAGATTTCTAAAAACACTGGAACTAGAGGCTCCATTTGACCCAGCTATTCCCCTTCTTGGTATCTTCCCAAAAGAATGAAAAACATCACAGCACAGCAATATACACACACTCATTTTTTTTTTTTTTGGTACTGGGGATTGAACTCAGGACCTTGCACTTTCGATACAGGCGCTGGAACCACTGAGCTAAATCCCCAGCCCTACATACTCATTTTATAGCAGCATAGTTTCTAATAGCTAAATCTTGAAAACACCCCAAATGCTCATCAATTGATGAATGGATAAAGAAGATGTGTTTTTTCTTTGGTACTGGGGATCGAACTCAGTCCTCGCGCTTGCACAGCAGGCGGCGAAACCACTGAGCTAAATCCCTGGCCTGATGTGGTTTTTTATACAATGGAGTACTACTCTGACATAAAGGATAAGCTTGAGACATTTATAACTAAATGGATGCACCTTGAGACCATACTCTTGAATGAAATAAATTGGACACACATGTTTAAATACTGCATTCTTTCTCTGGTGTGAGAAAAAGGAAGTGGAAATAAGGACCAAAATGTATAGCAGACATTGGAAAATGGAAAAAAATGTTCAAATGAGAAGGGGAACAAGGGTGGGGGGAGGGGTAAAGGAAAGAAGGGACAAGAAAAAAAGAATAGAAGAAGTAAATGGAAACAAAGCTTTTGTAAATAAGGAGAGGAAGAGGGGTCGATGGGGGAGGATAGGAAAAAAGGAGCAAGATCTATCATGTACAGGTACAAATTCCCTATGATGAATGCTATCTTTATGTATATCTATAATGTACCAATAAATGTTTGGCTTTAAAAAAAGAACAAATTTCTCAGTTATAAGGAATATATATATTAGAGACAGGGTCTCACTGTGTAATCCAAGCTGTCTTTGAACTCACTGTATAGCCTAGACTGGCCTCAAACTTGGAGGGATCCTCCTGTCTCAGCCTCCCAAATGCTGGGATTAAAGGCATGCACCAACCTGCCTGGTTTTTATCAATTTCTTTTTTTTTTAAAAAGTGAACATCCATGTAAGTGGCAACTTTCCTAATAAATTATTATCAGAAGAGTTCCTTAAAAAAAAACCCACTGATATTGCTATAGTCTCCTTGGCATTTCCATCCTACTGGAAATAATGTGATAGAAAAAGTCAAGGAAATAAGCAGGCAGCCAAAGGAAGGGGAAGTGGGAGCCAAGGAGGCTCACTCGCAGTGTGTGCCCGAGAAGACTTCCCATCTCACTTCGTGGCAGATAGCTGAGCGCCTGCGCAGGGAGCCCCAAGTCCACTAGGTCCCGTCTTCCTCCCTACTGTCTTCTTCCAGCTGTGCCCCTTGAGCAAAGCAGTGGTTCCTGTCTTTTTTTTGGTACTGGGGATCAAACTCGGGACCTTGTGCTTGCAAGGCAGAACCACTGAGCTAAATCCCTGGCCCCAGTGGTTCCTGTCTTACTAGATCAGTACAAAGTTTTTTGTTTTGTTTTGTTTTTGGTGGTACCAGGGACTGGATTCAGGGCCTTTGAACTGAGATACATCCCCAGCCACCACCCCCTTTTAAAAAAAATATCTTTCCTCTGTCTGTCTGTCCTCTTTCTCTCTTTGAGACAGGGTCTCACTAAGTCATTAAATTGCCCAGGCTGGGCTTGAACTTTTGATCTGCCTGCCTTAACCTCCCAGGATGTTGGGATTACTAGTATGTACCACCATGCCTGGCCAGTAAGCAGTTTCAAAAAATTTTGTTTTTGGCCTCAGTAGAAAATCTTTTCTCTTGCTATTCTCTCTGTGACATTTCCTGTTAAATACTAGCAGTCACATGAGAATTGGCTTCTCATGAAAGACAATCTGGGAAGGATGAGGCAATTTCCACTGTCTTCTCCCATCCTCCAACCTGGTCCAATGTTATTGCTAACAGACACACTTTGAGGGGAAGTGAAACATTCACTAAAAAAAAGGACTGATTGTTATTTATGAATCAATCAGCCATGAAGGGCTCTGCATAATCATCAGGTTATATTCTTCTAGAAGCAATGTAAACTTAAACTAAAACTGGTGTCAGCATGCCTTCTGTCCTCCTTTCATTCCTGTGATTTCTGTTCCTGTCACCAGCCTGTCTGGCCACTTTTTCTGCATCTGATCTCTCTTCACATTGGTCACCTTCACATATTCACTGCAGTACCCCCAAGGTCAGCACAGAAATACCAGAGCCATGTGGAGGAGCAAGGATGCAGCAGAAAAATCACCAGGGCCCAGGCTTGCCTCCACTGCCAACTTGCAGTGTGACCCTGATGGAGTTGCTTGATTTCTTAAGAGATGCCACATGCTTATAATCCTAGCTGCTTGGGAGACTAAGGCAGGAGAATTGCATTTTGGAGGCCAGCCTGGGCAACTTATTGAGCATCTGTCTCAAAACAAAAATATATACAAAAGGGAGGGGGGCTGCAGTTCAGTTCTCAGTAACACACACACACACACACACACACACACACACACACGCACGCACCTCTGGCTTGAGGGGGATGAGGCTGTCGGGGGTTGGGGGTGGGAAGAGCCAGGTGCTTCTTCCTATAGCTCTGGGTTCATGCTGCCCTTCCTCCAGGATGTGAGTTAGGGTGAAGCAGGAATCAATACTCCTTGGAAGTAAAAGACTCAGTCAGAACAGACTGTGGAGGATTTTTACAAGATGTGAGATGAGTTCTGGGGCCTTGAATGACTACAGAGTTCTAAGGTGTGGAGATTTAGCCCTGTAGTCCCAGATACTTGATTTGGCCCAGGAAGAACTGATTCCTGCTAACTGAGCTGCCCAGAGAAGGAAACAGAAAGGTCAGTTTACAACTCAGAAGAGCACTCAGTGAAGACGGAGTGAGGGCAGAAGAAACTGCTTTCAAACCAATCACCTATGGATTTCCCTCTGCTGTCACAGAAGTGTGTCCTGAGAAGGGGATGGGAACCTGTTCCATGCCCAGTGGCTGCTTTTCTGTACATCACATCAATCTCATGGTTTAACTGTGATAACTGACCATCGTCTATCTTTTTTCTTTCCAAACACTTCCTCCATTTTCCCGGGGCAGGATTGCCCTGGTTTTCTGAGTCTCAGCCTCCCCTCATGAAGATGGTGCTCTTTCCTCTAAATAAACCATTAAATAATACTCAGTGATGTCAGTGAGAGCTCTTGACAATTTTTAGTGAGCAGCTCATTAAACTGATATTAAGTGGTTGTAGA